ATAAAGTTTTAACCTTGAGTATTATAGTTTTTTGGAAGTGGACCTTACAAATAATGGGTTGTTAAGAACCATTACCATTCAAAATTCTTGTTTTCTCCATACATTTTCGGAAAGAAAACTATACTAAAACCTTTTAACTTATGGTTTGAGAACATTAATGGTAATGGTTATGGTAACCAGTAAGGTCCATGAATGGTTTTGTAACATCGATCAACTTTATGTGGAATATATCGCGAATTGGTTGCCTGTAAATTACTGATTACCAATTCACGATATATTTCACGTAAAGTTGAGTGATAATACAAAACCATTAATGGACCTTACTGACTACCATAACCATAACCATTAATGTTCTCAAACCATAAGTAAAAACGTTCTAATATAGTTCTCTTTCCGAAAATGTATGGAGAAAACAAGAATTTGGAATGGTAATGGTTCTTAACAACCCATTATTTGTAAGGTCCGCTTCCAAAAAACCATAATACATAAGGTTAAAACTTTATCACACAAACGTTCATGTAAAGTTCCATAACCATTTCAGTTGAAGTTTAGCAGGGATTATAAACAATTTATAACCATTATCGGTAAGGTCATGTGATGGTTCGCGTTTATACGGGTTGGCAAGTCTTCATTTCTTCTTTCATTGTCAAATGAAATTACTTTTGCATTGAAGCGAAGCTGTTCGATCCAAATTCGTGCAGTTTTAGGACTTTTGTTGTTTGTTCACTCGGTTCATTTAAGCGTATGCGCATAGATCTGTGCACGTGGATGCCAAATTTATCATTGTCGGGTGGTTTGTTTACCCATCAAAATGGGTACTTTTTGAATTGGGGTGACGTCTAGAGATCGAAAATTGATATGCGACGCCATTTTTAAAATCCAAGATGGCAACTTCCAGTTTAAGAAAAAGTGGGAAATACTGTCAAATACTTATCAATAAAGGTACTTTGGGAATCGGAATGATGTCTAGAGGATGAAAATCGATATCCGACGCCATTTTGAAATCGAAGATGGTGGCTTCCGATCTTCGAAAAAGTGGAAATACAGTCAAGTACACATCAATATTGGTATATTTGTAATCGGTATGAAGTCTACAGATCGAAAATTGATAAGCGACGTCATTTCGAAATCCATGATGGCGGCTTCCAGTTTAAGAAAAAGTGGGAAATACTGTCAAATACTTATCAATATAGCAAAATACTTATGACGTCTGGAGATTGGAAATCAATATCCGATGGCGGCTTCCGGTTTGAGAAAAAGTTGTAAATTCTATCAAATACCCATACTAACGGTTTTTTTTTAGAATCAGGGTAACGTCTAGAAGCCGGAAATCGATATCCGACGCCACGGCGGCTTCCGATTTGCAGAAAAGTGTCAAATATCCTAAAATATGGTTATTTTCAGAATGGGGATGCCGAAAATTGATGTCACGCCGTCTTTAAATCCAAGATGGTGGCTTTGGTTCAGTAAAATTGTGAAATACTCGAGGAAATACTGTCAAATACTGATCAATGTAGGTTTTTTGGAATCGGGTTGACATCTAGAAGAAAGAAATCGATGTCCGACGCCGTCTTGAAATTGAAGATGGTGGCTTCCGATTTCAAAAGAAGTGTCAAATAGCCTACAAATGGCATCGAATATCGATTTTCAGCATCTACGCGTCGTCCTCGTTCCGAAATACCCAGATCTTAGGGTATTTGACACATTTTGTGAAACCTGATGGCCGCCATATTGGATTCCAAAATGGCATCGGATATCGATTTTCGGTATTCAAACGTTGTCCCCATTCAGAAAATACCCATATTGTAGGGTATTTGACACTTTCTGAAACCCTATGGCCGCATATTGGAATCCAACATAGCATCGGATATCCTTTTTCGGCAGTCACGCGTTGTCTCCGTTCCGAAAATACCCGTTACGTTTTATGAAACTTGATGACCACCATCTTTGATTCCAAAATGGCATCGAATATCGATTGTCGGCATCCCCGTTCCGAAAATAGCCATATTGTAAGATAGTTGACACTTTTTTGAATCCTTATGGCCATCATATTGGATTCCAACATAGCGTCGGATATCGAAAACATAGCGTCCCGTTCCGAAAATAACCATATCATAGGATATTTGACACTTCATAAAACCAATGGCCACTATCTTGGATTCCAAAATGGTTTCGGATATCGATTTTCAGCATCTACGCGGCATCCCCGTTCCGAAAATACCCTATTGTAGGGTATTTGACACTTTTTCTGAAACCCGATGGCCGCCATTTTGGATTCCAAAATAACGTCGAATATCGATTTCCGACACCTTCGCGTCGTCCCCGTTCCGAAAATACACGTATTGTAGGGGGGTATTTGAGACTTTCTCCGACCCCGATGGCTGCCATCTTGGACTTCAGAATGGCCTCGTTAATTTAATTTTCGTTTAATATAAAAGAATATAGTATTACTACATATAATCCGGATGCCATCCCTATCGGCAACCGATATTGTGCGGATACTATTCGGATACTATATGTTGATGCCTGCGTCGTCAAGTCGTGACAATTCGAATGAGCTCCGAATTGAAGTGAAAGTGGAAAAAACGAAGGAAGCAGTTTTCGAGTCGTTCATTGCGTCAATTGACCACTTTGTCAAGCAGTTTTGGCGTGACTTTCTACCAGCGATTTCACAAAACTGGACCAACTAATTTCAATTTTTTTATGAAACGCACAAATGTTGGCTACTTTTCTCGAGGTTCTAGAAGAAAAAATCTCAAAACAATGTTTTATTTCAAAGTTCGAGTGGTAGTAAACGTCATTTTAAGGCTCAAATGTCAATCAATCAATCACTTGCTTGTATTTGTTTTCCATTTTGGTGGTATTGGTGTTATCGAGAATATCACAAATCATGAAAAACTAATACAGCTACATCTTACGTATTTTATGAGATTTGATAGATGGTAGTATTGAAATCATGCTGCTTAGTATATTTGGTATATTTTCTTAAAATCTCAGGTAGGAGTTCGTCCCAAAAGTACTCGAATGATGCACCGTATTCTGCCAATTTATTTATGGTAGAGTAAACGCTCCTATAGTTGCGGTACGTTAGAAGCGTTAGGTTCCTATAGTTGTGTATTGAGTCTCCATACACAACTATAGGAACCTAACGCTTCTAACGTACCGCTACTATAGGAGCGTTTACCCTTATAGTAAGAATACAATAAAATACCCAAGTACCAAAAACGACTTGTGATCTGACGATCAAATGGTGAAACGACCCCAATCAAAAAAAATGTCACTGAATCTGGATATTCAATCTATATGATTTGTGTTTGCCAATGCACTAACTTTTAATTACAACCTCATTTTCTATTATTTTTTTAAGGAACATAATTTCGAAGAAATCCATTACTTTATCTTCAACTCTCACCTGGAAGTAGAGTTTTTTTTATCCAATGTGACACTTACTCTTACATCCCATCTTAACCGAACTGTCACGAACAGCCCAACAAACAATTTTAGCTAGCTTATACAGGCAAAAATTAGCAAAATTAGAGGAATGTTCATCGTGACTCGATAACAAGAAACACGATGACTTACACGAAAATGATATTGCTCGAAATGAAGCGATTCTGCGTTGCGTTCATTTTCTTTTCTTTGTTTCGAAAATGCAGAACCCTGTCACTGTATTCGTAAAAACAAAAACCGCACAAAGCGCGTTAGGCCCTCCCCCTCTTAACTCGGATTCACATCTGGTCTTGAGCCAAGATGTTCCCAATACTCCAAAGGTTCTACATTTTGTAAACGAAAAAAGGCGACCAACTACAACGTCACCTAGAGCCGCGAATGTGAAAGTGACTCGTTCTCCCATACATTTTGTAAAATTTTCTCCATAGCCCTTTGAGCGAGGGGAACAAAATAATTTAATATTTTGGCAGGGTGTTTCTGACCCCCTAACTACCCTTCCAGGGGGTAGCGTTTGAAATCCCGGGATTGACCTATTTTAAAACACTCTAGTCATCGAAATGGGCAAGTGGAGATACACAAACTATCAGTTAGGCATTAGGTAGCTTAGATCAAGAACTATACTGCCGGTGGACGCTTAATTATCCCATGTTCTATGGAGACACATGGGACAACTATGCTTCCAGCGGCAGTATAGCGTTCTGTAGGTTTGGTTTGTCACCTTTCACCCATATTTGAGTACGATAGCTTGTGTGTTCATGTTTTTTTTTCATTTATCTTACATATGTTTTCAGTTATTTATGCATAGATTTTCTGTATTTAATTTTGCAAACATACATCCTAGATTTGAAGCAGTGCGATGCCTACCCTTAACGTGGAGAATGTCGTCGACGAAATGTGCCGATATGGGGGCCTCTGCAATGCCGGCAGCATGGCAGTCACGCAAATACTGTTGGAGCTGCAACGTAAGTGGAAATACACTCATAAAATAAATCACATAACCAGTGGAAAATATCCATGTGAATTTCACATAACTTTCATGTGATCCCATAATTGGAAATTGCACCACTAAATCACATGAACGTTATGTGTCCAATGAAATCTATATGATTTCTCATAGAAACTAAGTGAAAACGTTTTTCAGTGTACAATTAGCGAGGGTTGAATTCCATAAGAACCACTTATGAAATTTCGACAAAAGGAATCGGTATGAATTTCATCGATTTGCCTTATGAAAAATAATATTGACTAAACAAAATAAAACGAAGCAGACTGGAACCGAACCATGGACGTTGAGATTACGGGGTCTGTGTGTTGACCACTCGTCTTTCAACGCTAAGGAAAATGAAATGGTTAAAGGCGTATAAGACCTACCTCATGTTAGACAATCATTCATAAGTTTTTTCTTAAGAAATCCATATGTGTCGTTCATAAGTTGAGCCTTATGAAATTCTTATGTTTATTTGCCTCAGTGTATGACCAGTATGACGAAATGGCGAGCACGAGTTTTAAATCCTGCAATGGATCGTTCGGATCAATGCCATCCCTCTGACTTGTTGGATTATTCATTTTCGTTTATTATTTTTATGAGTTTTTTTTTCTTTCTTGTTACATTTTGAATCACATGTAGTAAAAGTTTAACTGCTATAGCTGAAAAATCGGTGAAGTTAATTTGTAAGCTAGTAGTAGTCTGTCTTATGCTTTTTTTTCCCTTTTCGTCTGTCATTATCCTAGGAATTATTCGTTTTTATGTGATATTTTTCTTCTTTTTTTCATTTTTGTATAAAAAACTATTTAAACTTCAATTACAAAAACAGCTTAGCATTTGCTCGCATTAGTTAATCAATTAATATTTGCATAATATTCCTAATAATATTGTGATCTTACGCAACTAAATGACTTTTTTTTGTAGTTAATGAATTAATAACTGCTTAAACGTGTGTGTTCCTTTTTTTTCTATTTCCTAGTATTATTTCGGCAATTATTCAGTATTTGAAAGCTTGAACCCAGTTGCTAGTTCATCTACATAGCAAACTCGAAAAATGTCATCAAATTCCGAACGAGATACTGTCACGCCAAAAAGATTCTTCGCTAGTAACTGTTCAAGCGAGAAGAAAACTGGCGATTTTACTTCACCCTTAGACGGCTACTATGAATCTTCATTCGAAAGAGCATCTCTCGTTGCATGGTAAAAAAAACATAATATTCACCCAGCGTGTCATCCATTCGATCTCTGGAAAAGGCTGGCGATCCTCTTTCCATCGAGCCAATAGTGCTTTTCAGCCAGGGTTGAAAAAAAAACGTGAAAACAAAAAAAAAATCTTACATGTTCTACATCTTGTATAAATAATAAATAAAAAAATACAAACAAAAACAACACTTTCTTTCCACACACAGCTCACCCATTCGATCCGATCATTTGAACACATGTTAATGTATATCCGCTCATTTTAGTGCCTTTCAAGGGGGTTGGAGAAATTGCAACCGGAGAACTGGCGATTTTCTTCGATGGCCATTCCTCCGATCCTCCCCGAAAAACACAATTTATAGTCCCCTATTCAACGTCCCGTTGTCAATCTCAATCGGATAATCCGTCCATTGGTTGCCGATAAAATTTCAATTTCAATTTCAAACTGAATACGGTAGGTACACTGCGCTAAATCAAACTGGACTTTTTTTTTTCTCGCAAGAATTAACTTTTTACATCTTTTATCCCGTTGCTACTCTAAAATATTTACATTTTGCTCTTCTTTTAGCTGCTTTTGTCTCAACTCTTTCTCCTTTCAGTAGGGGACTCTGCTATGCTCATTCTCACTCTCCTCTCTTTCACTGGTAGTTTGAACTGAAAAAGTAAATTTTCGCCCTCACAAACTTCCGAAAAGCCCTAATCATCATTGATTAGTATTGCAAATTTGTAATTCTCCTTGGCGAAGAATAAAAGCAAACCCTAATTGTACGTAAAGAAAAAAAAAACGAAAACAAGAAAATACTTTGAACTGATTAGTATGTGGCGACACACTTTTCTCCATCTTATTCTTCTTCTTCTTCAGCGTTAGACTTAATCCAGTTGCTGTTTCCTCTCTAGTGGTGGGGTTATTGGTTAGATTTTGTTTTTCGAGTTTCGTTCGTCGTCTTTTCCGCTTCTTTTTTTCTCGAGAGGGGTCTTAAAGTCTAAACGGGGCACGCTTCTCGGTCGAGGGGGTCGTTCCCCGGGAGCTTCGGCCCGGCGTTTGTGGTTCCACCGATGTCCGCCTGGGGGTCTGCATTCCGGACGGAGTGGACGTTCCGCTCGTTTTCCTGTCGGGGTAGACGGACGTAGAATGTTAGTCGAATGGTCAGGGTAAAATTGTAGCTTTGGGTGGATTAGATATTAAAACGGCACTACTAAAAACAAAATGATTACTATATAGGTACATACTTAAAGGAACGGAAAAACGCAGGAACAAACGACGTGCGTTGAGTCGAAAGCAATTATTAAATACCAAAGTTTAAACTAAACATTTATTCGGTGAAAAATTACAGGAAATCTGTGAAAAATCACCGAACTGTTTACCGAACGTTCAGCTGTTGAGATTTCGGTAAAATTTCACAGATTTCGGAAAATAATCTAAGTGTGTGGAATGGCACACGGGGCGTCCCTTAGCTCAGTCGGTGAAGGCGCAGATACAAAGCAAGATCATGCTGGAGGTGGCTGGGATCGGTTCCCGGTCCGGTCTAGGATTTTTTCAGGTTGGAAGATTTCTCGACTTCCCTGGGCATAGAGTATGATTGTACTTGCCACAAATTATAATAATGCAAAAATGGTACAGGCATCGAAAGCTCTCAATGAATAACTGTGTAAGTGCATCTAGAACACTAAGTTGAGAGCACGCAATTAGCTAAAATGCGATAAGCATTAAGCATAAAATGCGAATAAGAAGAAGAAGTTGGGATAATACAATACCGAAGGATTTTGGAATTTCGTTTCACTCAACCAATTGATCAGTTGTTGTGACTAAAGAGAGCAAGTTGCTCAACGCTCCAAATATGCAGACAACTTATTTATAGTTTATAGTTATGCACTGGTCAATGAGGGAAAAATGAGCACCCCATCCAGTTATAGTCGCTATATTCATAGTCTGGCGGATGGAATTCCGATCTATCAAAAAGCGGAACCAATTCAATATATTTTAGACCAACAATTGAAAAGATAGTATCAACTTCTATAAACAAAACGTTGATTATTATTTCCTCGCTAAAAGAATATAAATTAGCATCATCGGGTAGGGGGAACTTTCCACAACCTAAAGATTGTGTTAGTTTGTGTAGGCGAGCCTTGAGTCACAAGAAAACGGTTTCCGAAATTTTGTTCGCAACAACTGATGTGCTCTTTTCTGTTGTTAGTCGTGATTTTCTCGATTGGTTCCGCTATTTGACAGCTCAATTGGTTCCCGAGATTATATCCGCCAGACTATGAATATAGCGACTATACATCCAGTATGTCGATGTTGCCACAAAATTCTGCCAACTGCTCACCATTGTCGCTCATTACTCCGAGTCAGCGTTGCCAGAAGGTTTTAAAAAAATCGGCATTTATCGGTATTTACTATATTAATTTATTTTATATTTTTTTGCCGTTTTGTAAAGCGAAAATTGGACTATGATCGGAAAATTCTGGAAGAAAACTCCGGGGTATGTTTGAATTAGCTTCTGGAGAAAGCTGAAAACAACATCCAGAGAAAGAAGAAATAAGCTATCCTGGAGGAAATTTGAGGAAAGTTTTGAGAGAAGTCGGAAAAACATCCGCGGATCTTCCAAGAAATAAATTGAGAAACTTCTAGTGAAAATAAAAAAAAAAAACTTTCAGAAAAAAATCAGATTTCACATTCAAATTTGGGAAATAGGAAATACATTCCAGAAGTAGCCATTTTCAGGGGAAGTCAGAAGAAGCTCGGAAAAACCTTCCAATAGAAGTTAAAAAAAAACAGCGCAAAATTCCAGAACTAGACGAAAGAAATTTCTGGGAGATGTTTAATTGAACTTCCTGGAGAAGAGAGAACAAATTTCCTGGAGACGCTGGCAGGTAGATTGGAAAAAAAAATCTGGAGGAAGTCGGAAGCCTGAGCGCTAACGGAACAGTCGAAAGAAACAAGGACATAATTCCGGAAGAAAGAGCTCTTGGGGGATGTTCTAATGATCCAGAAAATTTTCCAAATGGTCATAAAACATCCCTGAAGACCCCGAAATGCCCTGAAGTTTTTGGAACATTCCTGAAATGTACTTTGGAATGTTACATATGTCCTCGAGCTGTTTTGGAGTACTCTGATCATCTTTGAAATACTTGGAACTTCCCTGATTATAATGAGACTACCGGAATATCTCTAATCAACTTTGAAGATCTCTAGACTTTCTTGAAGATTACGAAATTTCTTAAGCGCTCTCACAATTTTCTTGAATTTTTTGTACGAAGTTCTCTGATCTTCCCAATTTTTCTTATTTTTAAAAGTTATCGACACTGCCATTAATAAGCACGGAACTTCCCATAAAATGTTCTCACAATGTGCTAATGTTCGTGTAACTTCCCTTACGTTTCTTAAATTTGCATGAGCCCATCGGAACATTGCTGAAGTTTTCGGAAATTGCCTGAGTTTCTCATAACTCCTTTAAAATTTCAGCGATTTCCTTGAAATTTATTGATCTGATCTGATTGTCCTGATGTTCTCGGAGCTTCCTAAAGTTCTCTAAATTCTCCTGAAACTAATGGAACTGTCCCGAAAACCATTAAATTTTCCAGACGTTCTTTGGAATTGTAAAGTATCCAAATTATTTATGATGTTTCCTGGAGTTCGCTGGACCGGGTGTTAGAATTTTAACAGAAGTTATTGAAACATTCTTTAATTTATCGAAACTTACGTAAAAGTCTGGACTTTTCTGAAGTTAGTTAGTTTTCTTTATTACGGAGGCTTTCAGCCAGAGGCTGGTTCGCCTCCTTTTTAAAAGTTCCTGCAGCTAAGGTGGATCCGCAATCAAAATCTAGAAGCATCCCTGAAGTTCCGGGAAGAATCATTCGAGCGAAGGCTGAAGAAGCTTCCAAGGGAAGTCGACAGGAATCGTTAATAGAAAATTCCAGGGGAAAGTTGGAAGAAAATCCAGGATGTTAAATAATGTTTAAAAAGTATTTCTTGATTCCCCCGGAATTACCAGAAAGAGCCATCGACTGTTTATCGATTCATGGGTAGCCAAAAACGGTAGGGAAATTGAAACATTAATCGAAAGAGTATCCATAAAACATTTTTGAAGATGATTTTTTTTTTAGAATTTTAAAGACTTAGAAAATTGAGATATTCAAAAAGGTACAAGTCTCAAACAATTATTTTCTCCGAAATTCTGAGCGCAGGCAGGCAATAATCATTTTGATTATTTAAAAAATCGGTATAACACCCAAAAATCGGTATTCTGAGGAACCTTATCTGTATATCGGTATCTAGTTCGGAAATCGGTATAAATACCGATAAATCGGTATATCTGGCAACACTGACCCGAGTCCATGACACGCTTGTAGTCCGTATTCAAGCTGAACATTGTATTAGGTCCTAAGTAACATTGACAGATTCTCTTCGTCGACTTTCTCTTTGTATCCCCACGGCCATGTAAAGACATTCATATGTAATTCCCGCAGACAGATAGGTGAAATAAAGCTTGTATCTAGCATCTAATACGACAAACACAACAAGAAATGGTTATGTCCTCAAGTTATCAACGAAAGAGAAAGTCGACGAAGAGAATCGATCAATGTTACTTAGGACCTAATGCAATGTTCAGCTTGAATTGTTGTTATTCATACACTCTAAAAAATCTTCACGTCTGATTTACGTGAAATACCACGTAGCTGATCTGTATTTAGAAAATCTCAAATGTTACGTGACGTTAGGAGCTTTTACCTGAATTACACGTCATTTTCACTAAAAATGTTTGTGAAATCGACCGTATATTAACGTAAATAGATTTAGTGTGTTTAGAACTTTGAAATTTCCGCGAAACGAAATTTATGTGATTTTGAGACATGCAAAAAAAAATCCATGCTGCAAATATTGGACGGTAATTTGATTCTTTTACATTAATTAATTTATGATTATATGTGGCTAACTGTTCCTTTTTTATTTTTATACTTTTAGAAGGTAGCACCGGCATGTTGTGTTCGCTAATAATGTTAATATTTTTATAGAAATAGAAGATTTAAACATTTATACCTCATAATAATCAATAAGTCAATAATTTGCTATTTTATGAACAGATATAAGTAAAATCTTGTCCACTTACAATCCGGATACTTTATTTATTCTATAGCAGCGCCTCTAGTGCTCGGATTTAGAATGTTTAATGCGTTTTTTTTTCAGACTCATTTTCCGTAGCTTTGCGGAGCCGATATTTATCGTTTGGGTTACAAAACTACTTAAAACTAACGTTTTTTTCCTCTGTTCGGGACCAAACACTACTGCGACCAGTAAATTGATCTATTGTAGTATATCCCGTGTCCTTAGTTTAGTGCATGTCGTATTACTCCATCACTATTGAGAAATGATGAAGTATTCGTTTTTTTTTACAGTTGCCACTCTTGCATTTATCGCAAGAATCCGACTCTAATTGAAAGGTACCGCTATTTATAGCCTTCGGAGTGTTGAAACACCCTCCAAAGGCACGCCCCTTTGTCAGTCAACATTGGATTCCTTAGCAACAAAATTAAGGTATGACACCGATAATGACCATGCATCAGAACCCTAGTCTTAACCACTTCAAACTAGGGAACAACGAATAGAAGATTAGGAATCACATAGATGAAGACAACTAACTCATTTTTTTTCCTTGTTTCAAGATCATTCTCGGTAGACAAAGCCGAGTCTTGTCACTATCAAAAAGGCATAAAAAGTAACAAGGACTAAGATGTGTTCCTTGGATTACTGAAAAATCCTGTTCCCCTAGTTTGAAGTAGTCAGGACTAGTAATCGGTGGTAGATCTTACATCCCGTAACGTACCACGAAAAGATGATCTACCCACGTTACGGGGTAGTAAAGTAAGCGGGGGCCGTTAGTAAAGCGGGGGCCGTTAGTAAAGCGGGGGCCGATTGATCGGCTATCTCGAGGTACGGGGTAACAAATTGTAACAAACGGATGGCAGGGTAGGGATTGAGAACACAAGGTTTTTTAGAGCAATGTGCTCTTGATTTAGAACTAAGCGACATACTGGAGAAAAAGACAAACATGGGGGTACACCGATGAGGACCAAGCAACTTCAGAGAACACAAGATGACACTAACTAC